ACAAAGGCCCGTTCTGTCCACAGCAAGACTGCAGCTTCTGCTGACGTGCCTCGAGTCCTCTTTTATCTGCTTAGGGGAACGTGGAGTTGGTAGAATTTGCAGCAGACAGCCCTGCGACAGCAAGGGGAGATAGAGTGGCAGAAGCAGCTCCTAGAGAGGGACAAACGAGAAGTAGAGCGAATAACCGCTGAGACCCGAGCATTGCAATTGTGTGTTGAGTCTTTGTGCAAAGAGAAGGAAGATCTGGAAGAGAAGTGTGACAGCTGGGAGAAGAAGTTGGCACAAACCAAACGGTGAGAGCAGGAGCAAGTAGGCTTGTTAGGAGCCTTTCTGGAAGGTTAAGTTATTAGAAACACAGTATTTAAAAAATCAGAAAATTGAGAAAAGGCAAAAAAAATACAAAATACCCCACAAACTCAGTATCATCATACAGTTCACCAAGAATATTTTGGAGTTTCCTTTTAGGTTTTTCATTTTAGGTTTTTCCCCCCAGGCATGTTTTAAAATACCCTATTGTGATTTTTTTTTAAGTAAAATAATACACGCTGGAAGATACAAATAAGTGGAAAGAGATGCCTTGTTTGTGAGTAGACAGACAATATTGTTAAGATTCAGTTTTCCTCAGGTTGATCTATAGATTCAAAACAATCACAATCAAAATCCCAATAGGCTTTTAAAATAGAAACTGAACGTCTGATTCTAAAATTCATACTGAAATTCAGAGGACCTAGAAAAGAATCTAAAACTTCTAAGATATGACACCAAAACAACTTTGAAGAAGAAAGACGGAAATTTAGGGCTAACTCTACCTGATTTCAAGACAGTGTACAGCTGTGGTAATCAAAACACTGGTATTGCTATAAAGCTAGACAGGTAGATCAGTAGAACAGAACAGAAAGTCTACAAGTAAACTCACAAATATATATACAACTGATTTTGACGAAGATGCAAAGTAGAGAAAAGATGGTCTTTCCAAAAAATGTTGCTGAAAGCACTGCATATCCAGCCCCCCCAAGAAAGATTCTCGATCCATGCTTCACATTACACATAAAAATTAACTTAAAATGGACCGTAAACACAAATGTAAAACCAAAATATAAAACTTCTAGGAAAAAATATGGGGAAAAAGTTTGTGACCTGAGGCTAGACAAAAGTTTCTTAGATAAGACACTGAAAAGAGTAAATGGATAAAATTGGACTTCATCAAAATTTAAAACTTCTGCTCCTCTAGAGTCACTGTTGAGATCATGAAAAGACATCTCACAGACTTGGGGGGAAATCTTCACAACCATGTATCTGATAAAGGACCTGTACCCACCCAGGAGATAGATATATATAGATAGAAAGATAGAGATAGAGATAAATGAACTCTCAGAACTCAATAAAATGAACAACCCAATTTTTCAGATGGACTAAAGATTTGAACAGACGTCTAAGAAGATATATGGATGGCAAATAAGCGCATGAAGAGATGCTCAACATCATTAACCATTAGGGAAATGCAAATGAAAGCCACAGTGGGAAAAAAGCCCACAGTGAGATATCATTACACACCTGTCAGAATAGCTAAAATTAAACACTGACCATACCAAATGCTTGTGAGGAACTTTCATGTGCAGTTGGTGGGAGTATAAAATGTTAGTAAGACCACTTTGGAAAATAGTTTGATGGTTACTTAAAAATTCAAGTATACATCTCCCAGAAGTTCTAGCTTTTCCATACCTAGAGATGAAAGCATATATCCATGCAAAAACCGTACACTGATGTTCATGACAGTTTTATTTGCAATAGCCAAAAACTGGAAACGATCTGAATGCCCATCAGCTGGTGAATGGATTGACAAATTACAGAATATCCATACCATAGAATACTACTCAGCAAAAAAAGGAGTGGAGTGTTGATACACACAGCAGATGGATGAGTCTCAAAGTAATTATGCTCGTGAAAGAAGCCAGACAAAAACCAGTCCTTACTGTATGACTCCATGCACGTAAAGGAATGCATGCTTATGCCTATCTGGTTTTTGGACAAATCCTATTATACGTACAGTAGTGTTTCCTGCCTTTTCACTTATCTGAAGTTAGTGATCCATTTAAATCACTCGGATTTTGGAAATTCTAAGTGCTATCCCTGTTTTTATCCCTGGTTTTCATGAAGCTTCAATTTAATGAGTCACTTTTTGAAAAATGTTCTAATCGGAAAGCTGAAAATCAGATTTCTTTTAAAAATGAGTTGCAGAGCCTTCCATTTTGTTAATATTTATCATTCAGGCTCCATGTCTACGTTGTAAAAGCGTAAGTGTTCCTTCGTTGTCCGGTGTGTGTGCATGGACATTTTCTATTAGATTATAACTTACTCTCTGCCTGTTTTGTAGGGTTTTAGCAGCTACAGAAGAGAATAGCAAAACAAAGCAATCAGACTTAGAGAAGCTGGAATTGGATGTCAGAAAACTGCAGCAGGAACTAGACCAGCTAAACATGAGCAAACTCTCGCTGCACAAAGACATCGCAGCAATGCAGCAGCAGCTCCACGGTATGAGGCGGGACAGCCGGAGAGGGGTGACTTTCTTCCTTTCGCTGGATTCCTTTTTTAAACTGTTTGCCTTCTCATTACAGAAATAATTCATGCTAAAGGGCATGGGATTTCTTTTAGAAGTGACAAAAATGTTCTAAAACTAGACATGGTGATGGTTGCACAACTCTGTTAATGTACTAAAAGCCATGAAATTGTATATGTTAAATGGGTGAAATACATGGCATGTGAGTTTTATCTCAATAAAACTTAAAAAAAAATTCATATTCCTTAGAGAACGATTTTAAAACATAGCCAAACAATAAGATAAAAATTACTGTTGACCTCAGTCCTTAAGATAATTTCTGTTATCAATTTAGTGCACATCCTTCCAGACTTTTCCTTGGGGGAGGTGTGTGTATAGTTTTGAAAACAAAAACAAAGATGCAAGTAACATCTTCATTACAAAGTCTTTATAAACCCTCATGTTTGTTTATTTAGAAGCAGTTACAAATTCTAGCTAACAGTGTACTTGTTGAGCACTTACTATGTCCTAGGCATGATGCAAATGTTTTATATGCATCTTGTCACTTAATCCTTGTAACATTTTTATGAAATAACAACTATGATTTCACCCATTTCCAGATAAGGCGACAGCTTAAGCTTAGTTTCCTTGTGACTTGATTAAGCAAGAAGTGACTTGCTCAAGCTCACACAGCTAGTAAGTGACAAAACCAGTGTACATGTGAAGTTTATTCCCAAATTGTCTTCCTGAAAGGTTGTACCAGATTTCCATTTCTACTTGCAATGTAAAAGGTACCTGCTTTTAAATCACGTACCTCATCAACACTTTGTATTATCTGTAAATTTTTTTATTGTGAGTTTTGAACATGTTAGTCTTTATAAACATGGTCTCCGAGCCCAGATCTGGCTTGTTTATGGGCTTCTCCTCTGGCCTTTAACAAGGTAGGGTGGTCTAGCCATACATTTAAGGGAAGTAAGTATAAGTTCACTTCCACTCTACTTTGGGGAGGGTGCCGATGGAAATCTAGAAAACGTATATGTATGTATTTCTTATTTTATGTAAATGTTATCTCTGTAGAAAAGCGAGAAGCAGTCAACTCATCACAGGGGGAGCTAGCTGAGGTCCAAGACCGTCTGAACCTAGCGAAGCAGGTAAGCCTGGCACGTGTGGTCTTCTGGTAGAATCCTGCAGGCGTGCAGGCCGGTGGTTGAAGTAATAAACCAACCAGGCCACTTCCTTGTCATACCAGGTCCCTTAAAGCCATTTCTATAGCACAAATATAATACACACACAGATTTTGATGCAGAGCAGTGATTTTCTAGTTTATTTTAGCCCTAAAACTCTTGATTTAAACAACATTTTACTCCAAGCTAATGAGTAAGGTGGTGGCTAGAAGAGCCCAGCAGGCCCTCGGCAGCCGCTGTGGGGCTTCAGGGACCAGAGGGATCAGCTCTCATCCAGGGCACTGATGCGGCCTACGGAGGCTGAGCTTTGATTTGATCACTCACTGAGCTGCAGAGTATGGCCAGAGCTGGGCCTGCATCTTGTCAGGTGTTGAGCAGAGCAGATTCCTTACCCTTATAAAATCTGATGATCTTAGGTAATTCAGTGTGGCCCTGTGAGGTCAGTGCTGCAGTTTGAGTTTCAAAGAACCTCAAGCAAGTTCTGAGCTTAGGTTTCCACTGTGTAAATTGGAGGTTGGATTAAACATCTAAACTCTTCCTTTTCTACTTTTAAGATTCTGTGTTTCTAAGATACATGAAACTTAAAGTATTCTGTCTTTAAAAAGTTCTTCACAGATTCTTAGGAATATTTTTTGTGTTGTTAGAAATATGCTAACTTGTACAAAAATACTTTATTTGTTTGCTGAGTTTTTTAACCGGTATAAATACTTCAAATAGTTTAAAAAAACCATGACTTTAGGTTCATTTTCAATCAGAATTAAGGCTTATTCACAGCTTTTCTTAAAATCAGCAATCCTGTAAGGGCGGCGGGGGAGGGGTGTTGTTTATTCCCACCTCAGTGACAAACAGCTAAAGCTCAGAGGGACGGAGTCTGTTCCTGAGGTTCTGACATCTTCTCTCATCTTATTTTTTTAGGTACTAAAAAAGGGAGGCCAGTGATTAAAATAAGTTCTGAATGCTTTTGTTTGTTTGTTGAAATAAAGGGTATGGAACTTCTCTGCTTCTCATTTTTCAGACGTAGCAGGTGCTGGTGTGGCACTGGCGACCTCAGTGTAGGTGGTTTTGTGAGTAGTTGTAATTTGTTTTTTCACCTGAAGGACCTGCTCCGCACCAGCGAGCGTCAGGCCGCACTGCTCAGTGAGCAGACCAGGCTCCAGAAGGACGTGAGTGAGTCGGGAAGGCGGCTGGAAGTCTGCCAGAAGGAAGAGGAAGCAAGACAACAGCAGCTGCAAGTGCTTCAGAGCGAGATTGAAGAAAACCAGGCCGAACTGGCCCAGCAAGAAAAGGTACCGCGCATCGATGATTTTCTGTAACAGGAGATGCCGTGGCGCCTGCGAGTGCTTTCCCCCTGGCAGAAAGCTGCTGAGAAGCGTCCTCCTTGGGTCTAGCTTCCCTTAACCGCCCTGGGTGACCAGGGGGGATTTGACATCAACTCTTTGACACCCTTGGTGTTAATATTTATGGTCCCATAAAGAGTCTTGATGGCCACGTGTCATTTCCTGTTGAATCCCCTCCTCACACACTGGCCAGATAGTTCTCCAGTCGCTGCTTGATGACCTTCATAAAGAGAACGCATTCTCTCACCGTGGGCTGCTTTCTACTTTCTCTTCAACTGGAATCTCTTTAGTGTTGGTGAACATTCGCTCAGGACACTCTTGGTTATTTTATGATTAACTGAGGTTGTGCTCTATTAAGGTGTTTCAAAGACTCCAAAAAGAGAGAGAAGGTGAAGAAAAAAAATTAGAAGCCAACAGAGTGACACTGAAGGAGCAGCAGCACCAGCTGGAAAAGGAAATAACAGACCAGAAAAGCAAACTAGACCAGGTGCTCACCAAGGTGTTGGTGGCAGAAGAGCGCATCCGGGCTCTGCAGGAAGAGGAAAGGTGGGGCGAGACCCTGGAGAAGAAGCTCTCCCAAACCCGTGAGTATTCTGGAACTCTGCGGGGCGGGGGTGGGTGGGATCTGCTGATTGTCTTTGTAAATGTGTGAAGGAGCCCCAGTCCCCAGCCATAGCCCGGGCAGGAGGCAGGACCTGCACAGTGGGAAACAGACCCTCGTCTGACCCTCCCAGCCTGTGTGAGGTGAGGACACAGGCTCAGAGGGACGAAGGGAATTTGTCTGCCTGGAGATGGGACTTGATCCCGAGACTGTCAGGTCTTTTTACTTTACTGTATTCCTCCCTTCCAGAATGCTGTCTCAAGGAAGTGGGACATTCAGGCAGACAAGTGCCAAAAGGTGCTCTAAAGGCTTTCTATAAAGTGCATTAATTTTGAGCTTTGGGAGCAATGATCCATGTCATCTCAGCCAGTCAAAAAAACATTTTAGCAATTCTACTTTTGCCCAAATCTGACATAGTGAATGGTGCTAAGATACAGATGTTGGCCTTTGGGTCTGCTTGCTCTCTTGAGCAACACATAACTGACATTGACTTGGGAATCCAGGGTGAGTGATGTTTTCACATCAATAAATGAGTTTTCTTTTACTTAGGCTTCAGGTTTTAATAATGCTCAGAAAATGTCGTTCTCCCCTGAGTGAACCCAGTAGACTTGGGATCTGAAAATGTTATTTTCCTTTTTTTCCTGGGAACTCTTGATACATCAGACCCAACCAATTCATTGTGAAAATGAAATTTAACAAATATTCTGAGTCTCACTCACCATGCCAGAGGGGTGAAGAGTGAAATCTGGGCAGGGTGTTGCTCTAAAGAGAGTGATTAGAAAAGTCTGTTTTAAATGTCCCTGTTATGTATAAGCATTCTTTATTGAGTCCTCACTCTGCACTAGGTGTGTGCATGCACGATTCCCACTGAACCAGGGGACAGGTTCCTTCTGTAGAGAATAGGGCTCATGCCGTTCCCAATCCTGTGTTCTTTGCACTGTGCTGCCCCCCATGAAGAAGAAATACTGGTGTACTTCCCTTTATTCAAATCAGGTTTATAAAAACATTTCATCAGTCTGTTCTGTGTTCCCTGCACCTCAGAATTGCTGCTGTCCTTTACTCTCTTTGGTCTCCGAGACTCGAAGGGGAAGACAGTAGCTGTCTGTCACTTTAGAATCGGGCCCTCCAGGAACCGGTTATATCAAGAGGCACCCTTACCTGGGCCGTTTTCTGGGCCTCTGGTGTGGGTCAGGGGAGACTAGGAAGACTGTGTGAAGGAGAAAAGTGTCTGAGTGGGTGCCCTGTTGTTGTGCAGTCTGCCCCCGACCCCCTCCGCCAGCCCAGGGCCTCGGGCTAAACTACTAAATATACTCATTTTAGAACGACAGCTTTCAGAACGGGAGCAGCAGTTAGTGGAAAAGTCAGGTGAGCTGCTGGCTCTCCAGAAAGAGACGGACTCTGTGAGGGCAGACTTCAGCCTCTTGCGGAACCAGTTCTTGGCAGAAAGAAAGAAAGCCGAGAAGCAGGTTGCCAGCCTGAAGGAAGCACTCAAGATCCAGCGGAGCCAGCTGGAGAAGAACCTTCTGGTGAGTACCTCCTGCCCTGGCAGTTTGTGAGGAAATGATGCACTTAAATCTTTAGACTAAAACACTGCTTCAGTGTAGAGAAAATTAATTACCTGTCAACGCAGTCCCTAACCCAATTGCTGTTTTTGGTGCATTTATGCCTAATTTGTTCTTGAAGCTGATGGTAGATTTTGCCTGAATCTGGGCTGCAGCCCTGGAGGAGCTGTCTGTGCGGCTGCAACGGTGAGCCTGTGCACAGACGGTGTCAGCACAGAGCAGGGAGCACCCTGAGCGAGCCAGCCTCTGCTCACGCCTTCCCTGGCGGGGTGGAGGGGTGTGGGGGAGGGGAAGCTTCTGAAGACATTGTTACCCAGCTGCAGTCTGTGCTTACAGATTTTTCTCATTCTGCCCTTTTCGGTCAAAATTGGCTTTAATTAACCATTATTGTAAAACCAGGAAGCCCAATCTGTCATGCTTTTATCCCTGAAATACATTTTGGGAGGTGGTGCTCAGATGAGTTCAGAAAGTTTATGGTGGGTCGAGACGTACAGACAGCAATAGGGACTGTCGCAGGAATGGATTTTTCTTACACCCTCTCAGGAATTGACACCCTCTGTAGCTCTGCTGTATACATGGTACTTTCCAACCATGTGTGTTTCCCACAGAGTGATAGGCAACATGATCGTAAAGGTAGTACATAGATGTCTAGATTTTAATCCTCCCAGGAACACTGATGCTGAGCATCGTTCCCATTTCATGGATAATTAATGGAGGCTCAGAAAGGGAAAGTAACCTGTATCAATGGTAATGCTGCCGATCCAGGATTCAGGCTTCAGGCTAACAGACTGACCACGTATTTACTCCCAGCCGAACCACAGCTGCTAGGGAAGGCAGGTAGATTATTCCCACTTTACAGCTGTAGCCCCGATGGGAAATGAAGTCACAGGGCTGGTGAGTGTGTAAGCGAGCACCACACACTTCCACGTGCTGGGCCCCAGGGTCGTTTTTCTGCCCCGTGCTAGGAGCAAAAGCAGGAGAACAGCAGCATGCAGAAGGAAATGGCAACTATCGAGCAGGTGGCCCAGGACAACCACGCGCGGGCCAGGCGCCTGATGAAGGAGCTCAGCCAGATGCAGCAGGAGTACGCGGAGCTCAAGAGACAGGTGCGCCCGCGGCCCCACGGGGCTCAGGCGGAGCTTACTTCCTATTTCTTAAATAGCTCTTTTTAAAGGGGTATTTCTTTGTGAAAAGCTAATTAACCACATTTTTTTTCTAGTATTGAAATTTAGAAATGCACCTCCATGAGAAAAAAAAAGGATTTATTTACTTTTAAAACTCCTCTCAGTTCAACAAGCTTTTTATGTTAATTTTTAAAAAAAAACTGGCAGTTCTTCAGCATAAAATTTTATCATGTCCCAAAGAACTGTATGGAAATACGAGATTTTATGCCAGATGCAGGTGTGTAAGAGCCAAACCCCCAGGGAAAGGAAGAAATGACCCCAGGGGAAACCGTGGCTAGCCCGTGTGCAGCCAGGCGGAGGGAGGGAGAGCAGCTCACACAGTACAGAGAGTCTCATCCCAGGCGCCCCTGGTGTCCCTCGGCCAGCGTCAGTGGCTCGGCCATTCCTGAACTCTCTAGTTCGACCACTGTGGCCACCTGGTTGACCCTGCCACACTTGTCCTTTAGATGACCCCGCCACACTTGTCCTTTAGATGACCCCATGTGGCCATTCAGTTTCATCTGTGCCTTTAACCGCCCTCCATCCCTGACACACACACACACCCTTTAGGTTAAAAAAAAAAAAAATTATTTAAAGGCCCCAAGCCTCTGCAGACTTGGAAGGGCAGTTGGCAGTAGGTATGACTGTAATATCTTCACTAAGCACTTACGGAGGGAGCCACATGGGGTCATCTCAGGTATGAAACAGGCCCTAACTCCTGAGGAAACCTCTAGTCTGCCCAAACCACCAAGTTCTTCACCTATAAAATGAAAACATTTGACCAGCTCTTTTCTAAGGCCCCTTCCAGCATTTACCTGTACAAGATCACTCATGCTTTGTTTCAGTAAATGGCCCCTTTCTCATTTGGGTACCACTGAAGTGCTTCATGTAAATTACCACCTGGTTCTCGCATGTCTGCATGCAGGGTATTATCTTCATGTCTGAGTGAGGTAACAGAGGTTGAGAAGTTAGCTAACTTGCCCTCAGTCATACTGGTAATGTTTGCTGGAGATGAGATTGGACCCCAGCTCTGTCTGGCTGCAGAGAGACTGGCTTCTATAGAGTAAAGCGCCTTCAAGGAACACAGTGCCCACGCTTTCTAAGTGGGAGCTGCTCCAATCAAAATGCCAGTAAAGTCATTTATTTGATAGCTTATAGATATTTGAGTAGTTGAAAAATCACAAGCTTTTATAATTTTAATCACAGGAATTAACATTTGTAGGTTTTAAAATACATATATATTTAAAACATTACATTTAAAACATTAATAATAAAACAGTTCAGTTCCAAGTAAGTCTTGAACTTTACCCAGTGGTGTTTGACTCTCACTCTTTAGATGGCAAACCAAAAGGATCTGGAAAGAAGACAAATGGAAATCAGTGAAGCGATGAGGGCACTTAAATCCGAAGTGAAAGATGAGATCAGAACCAGCCTGAAGAATCTTAACCAGTTTCTTCCAGAACTACCAGCAGATCTGGAAGCTATTTTGGAAAGGAACGAAAACCTAGAAGGAGGGCTGGAAAGCTTGAAAGAGAACTTCCCATTCACTATCAGTGAGAGACCATCACCTTTTGAAGAAAAACTGAATTTGTCTCATGTTCACATAATGGTAAGGGTTTATCCAGCTATTCTCTGGACTTCGCAGAAGGATAATCTGGTTCCCAGCTCCCCCAGATAAGCTAAACATGGACTTGAGGATGGGGAAGGGGAGGGCGGGAAAGGTGGGTGGATTACGGGTAGGGGTGGTCGGTGACTCTTTAATGTTTCCCTTTCCCTCTGGAAAAGGATGAACACTGGCGTGGAGAAGCACTCCGAGAGAAGCTGCGTCACCGTGAAGATCGACTCAAGGTTGCCCTTTAACAAAAATACACTCTGAGATACTTGGCACCTCGAGGAGGGAGGGGGAGACCGCTTACATTCGCACACTGCTGTCACATTCGCTCTGTTGCCGCTCTCATGGCAGTTCCATAGATGACACATTCGAAGCTCAGAGAAGGTGGCCTCACATAGTTAGTAAATGGCAGGGTCAGTATTTCAAACCATGAGTTCTGGTGTTAAGCCTGGTTCTCTATACTGTGAGTAATGCTGCTTTGCTGCAACTAAAACTGACAGGACCTTAGTATTAGGGACAGGAAATAGAGGTATAATAATAAAGATAAGAAGCTCCCAGGCCAGCCGTTGGGGGAAGGATCGGGAACACTGGGAAAGCAGGCTTAGGTGTCAGGCGGGAAGTTGTTTGGCTCAGAACATGTTGAGTTTAAAGGGAAGGATACCTGTCCGTGGGCAGCTGAAAGTCAGTGTCTAGGATGTAATGGTCAATGTCGACCTAAACATTTGGGGGTTAAGAGTGTAGCTGGGAGTTGAAAAACGTGAGGTAGTATAAGACAGGACAGAATGCACCTTTGGAGACTGGCCACATGCAGCGTGGGCTGGGGGAGCCACGTGCAGCATTGAGTGAGTGGAGGCTCTCGACATCAGATAGCCTCCAGCCACATGTGGCTGTTTAAATGTAAATTCGTCATAATTAAATCAGGTTAGAAATTCAGTTCCTCGGTTACCACATCTCAAGTGCTCAAAAGCCACACGTGACTAGTGGCTATTACAGTGGGCAGGGCAGGTGCAGAGCATTGCCGTCACAGGAGGGTCTGCTGGGCAGCACTTGCTGTCGACTTGAATAAGAGAATCGCTTCAGAGGCACAGCAGGGAAGCCAGAAAGTAGTGTGGGGATGAGGATTACTTACATTGTGAGAGACTCTGAAGGCACCAAGTATAAGCCAGCCTTCTAAGTCTGGGCAGAAAAGAGGGAGAGGAGGTAGTAACTTAATGGGGAGGCCAGGGATGCGGAAATCCGAAGCGTTGTGACAGCAGAGAGAGCAGGCTGAGGAAAAGGCCCAGTAAGTGACCACACAGTGCTGAGAGTTCACGCACGCCGAGAGCAGCCGTCAGGCGCCCCCTCCTTCCTTTTCCTTCCTCTTTTTTCAAGGACGCGCATTTTCAGCAGCCATTCCCATTTGCTAATGGTCAGATTTGCCTTCCCAGCGTTAAACACGAGGGAGCTGTGAGTTCTGGCACATTCTCAGTAACACCCTAAGTTTTACCCTGACACTTTCAGGCCCAACTTCGACACTGTATGTCCAAGCAGGCGGAAGTGTTAAGCAAAGGGAAGCGGCAGACAGAGGGCACCTTACACAGCTTGAGGAGACAAGTCGACGCCTTGGGGGAGTTGGTCACCAGCACATCTGTAGATTCCACGTCCTCACCCAGTGTGTCTCAGACGGAATCTTCCCTTGCAGAGGACTCTCACCGTGGACCAAGCCAGGTAGGAAGAAGCTCTTCACAAGGAAGGAGTCCGATTGACACATGGAAAGTACCTGAAAGCTTTGGGGTCCCCAGTCTAGAGGAGACTTGGGACATGAAGGCTACTTTCAAATCTCTGGAAACTTGTCTCAGGAAAGCCTTGTATTTTCATGGTCCCTGAGGAAACTTGCATCGGTTGGTAGATGTGTAAGGAGGATAAGCTGATGACTTAGGAAATAGAATAGAACTGGAGCCTGGATGCCCAGACGGGGATGTAGGTAATTCTATTAATGTCTTCCACTTTTGCATTTCCTTATCCTCTACTTGGTCAGTATAAAGAGTTTCAGACTCAGGCCAACCTAAGTCCCAGTTTAGTCTGTCTCCCTGTGTCTTGGGGAAAGAGGACTGGCTGTGCCGAAGACTCAGCAAAGTTTGAACACAGAGTTTGAACTCTTAGCCCGGAGTCTATTAAAAAAGAACCCTGGATTTCACAAAAGTTTTCTGTGTGAGACTTAGATAAGGTTAATAATTATTCAAGAGAAACATGAAATATACTCATGGAATTGCTAAATAGGAACACCGTATTACTGTCAGGTAAGAGCTACTATTTCAGGGGGCCTACTATATGCATGCACTAAACACTTTACATGTATTATCTCATTTCATCTTTACATCCTGGGAGGTAAGAATTATCCCTCTATATAGATAAAGAAATTGCATGAAATGAAAAATGATGTCAAGGTCACAGCAATAGACAAAACCAGGACTTTGGGGCTAATCTGTGTACCTCAAAGCAGTATATTGTACTGTTGAGTAACAGGAATATTCAAGGCCAGTTGCGTCTTTAACAGACACACAGCTCATTAGCAGCAAAGCCGAGACTGAGTATGATTACCTTAAGGCCTTCTATGGTGGGACCCAAGTTGGTTACAGGCCAAAACTGTCATGGGTCTCATGGCAGGCCTTAAGGAAGTATGTGTCAGGGCATTGAAGAGTAGGTGACTTCGGAAGTAAGACGGTCCAGACTAGATGAGGCACAAAGAAAAGGAGTCTGTTAGAATTACTTTGGATTCTGGGATCATAATCTAGGTCTGCGTGGGATAAAAGTGAACTAGATTGGAGTTAGGGGACTGGCTTCTGAGCCTAATGTTTTATCTTCCTTCTTGTCAGAGCGCCTTCCAAGTTCTACAAGGTCCGTCACAGCCACTAGACAGTTACCGACACTGATGCCATTCCCAGCTTCCTGCTTGCAGGGTACGTGTTACAAAGAGCTTTTAACTAGCACTTTCAATTAGAAGATTCTAATTCTGGCTTACATAGCCTTAAAGAAAGTAACCTTTTAACTTTTCTTTTGGATAATTTCGTACAGTGGTTCATCTTAAAACATTTTTCAAGAGGTGCTCAAATATGTATTTTACCTATTAGCCATCATGCTATGACTTAGCTCTGTTAATTTAGTTAAGACCTGTTTTTACTGTTTCAAGAATGCATCCTTTCTACATTTTTGTCTTACTGTAGAAAAAGAATGGCTCAGCCAGATGAGGACGACTTTCTTGCGCAAATGAGGAAATACCTTCCCTACTACCTCACTAACTTCATACTTAGAATGCCAGTTGGTTTTTATCAAGATCCAGCGAATTCAGATGCTGAAACCCCACTGTAGCTTATTCCACTTGTACAATTAACGTCAGGGTTTTTGTAAGTCATTTGTACATATGGGAATAGTTATATACAATTTCAACCAGGGTCCTAGATAGCTGAGGGTTTCTTATCTTTGAAAGGTGTTGTCATAAAACCAATGCTGACTTGAACCTATAAACTGCAAATCTGCATCTCTAAGCTGGTAAAATCTGTAATTAGAAAGGGAGAAAATGTACGTTAAGTCTCTTCATTTATAATGCCAAAAGTTATTCTTGAATTTTTTAAATCTATTTTCATATGAAAATAAAAGATAAAAATAAATTTGGATCTGTTGTCTAACTTCACACTTCGTATGTCTACAGTAAACCCATTAAATTTTTACCTTCAAGAAAATGGTTTTCCATCTTTGCCTGCAGGTTGAAGTATGTTGTGCCTATCAATGAATTTATCATTTGGAAATACCTATTATAGAACTATTATACTTCAGGTGCTTTTCCTTAACCAAAAATTCTTTGGTGGAAAATTAGAACTTTGTACTTTGGAGTATCTGACCCAGTGATATATTCAAATTGTGTTAAGACTTAAAAATTTTTTGAACTGCCATAATGGCTCAACTCCATGGTCTATGAATAATTATTTCTTTAAAAACAAGAATAGCAACTACTGTCACAGTAGGATGTGTAGCAATATAGTTAGTCCTATGGGTAAGTGGCGTATGAAATGACATGTAATAGGTTGTTTTAAAATACTCCCAAGGACCTTCCAGGCCCCTGAAAGGTACACTACTACATACAATACATACAGCAGGGAGCAATCCCTCACCACCAACTGCGGTTTATATTCCTAAAAAGTTATTTGGCTAGAGATGGACCATTAAGATTTGGGATAACTATGATTAAAGACAATGAAAATAGCATAAAATTTATTAATACACCAAGTTCTAGAAAACATCTACTTTCAAAATAAAAATTGACTCGGTAGTGTCTTTTGTACTTACATTGTTTCATTTTCGCCAAGTCTTAGCAAAATGCTTAAAAACCTGGCCTGTCCACAATTACTGAAATCCTTCAGGGACATTTATTTTCCTGTTCTGTCCACGTGCTGAATGAGGGTAACGTTATTTTTGTCCTGAACTACCACATGAACACTTTCTATGTTCCCATTTGGTCGTTTAACGGGAGTGAACTAAACTACACATTTAGATGAAAAGATCACACTTAAAACAATGGATGCAAGGGCAAAAATGTTCTCAAAAATTGGCCTTCTGGAATTAGGTGAGGTAATTAATGTGTGAAGCTAAATACCTGGGTCCGAAAGACATCTTTCCAAAGATACTTTACTGCATCTAACTAGTATTATGTAAGCACCACCAACCAAAAAAAAATCAAAGTTACTCCATCAATCACTTTATTATCCATGAAAAATACTTGAACATCATACTGGAATGTCTAACGCCGAGTACTGAGCACCAGTGCTAATGAGGAGGGCTTCATACAGGTGCGAGGGCAAGGAGAAACCCAGAAAAGCAGCTGATCACACAAGCAGTAAGCTCTCCACGGATTAATAATTAAAAGAATTTCACATTCTCTCCAAAGTGCACTTGCCCAGTATCTGGCGCACAGATGGTACAATATGACGATTTGCTTCTCTAGTTTTGAGCACCCAAGTTTATTATAGGGGATAACACATGCAAGTAACAGAATTTGGCCCCAAGTACAGTCAAGGGAGAACACTATCAGGCATCAAAATACGCTGATCTCACACTGAAAAAGGCTAAAAAACACTGCAGGTGTGATCCAGACACAAGGATAAAACCAGTTCAACTTACTCAGTGATGCGCATTTATACGCTACATATGTAGACTTCTCTTTATACAACAAATAAGGGCAATTCTGCAATAAAAACTGGCAACTAATGCCAAGTAACTGTTTGCCTGAAGAAAATATGAAATTCTATTATAGTTCAGAAAATAATACAAACGATTTTAATTTAATCTAGATACAGGTACTTTATTTACAAATATTTCGATTAATAGCATTTTGTTACATCAAATGAAGGGTACAGCAGTCTGAGTAAATCCTGTCACAGGAACGATGAGACCCACTGTAGCTAACTGGGAGTCGGGCTATTGCACTGAACAAGCGCAGTCTGAGTCTGTGATTGCTACCTTACACCCCGTGGCTGGTTGGTTGGTTTTGTTTTTGTAACTATATACACAGACCAGCAGGTCATGGTCCCCGGGTGAGTCCCTCGTGATGCAACAGTGTAAGCAAAAAATGGTGACTGTAGTTCTGTAACAGAATACACCAATCTACTCCAGGTATCTTGTTTTTTTAAAAAGTTAAACAAAGACAGAAATAAAGATGAGTCCACAAATTAACCAAATCCTATGTTCTGCACATTCCAGTTTTGGCTTTTATTTAACAATGACTATACAATACTCTGGTACTACCACATGTTTACAACCCAGAAAGCTGTATTTTTTAGTGTCTGTAAATAGGGATTTAAAATGTGTATTTTAAACACAGCAGTTGCGCTGAGAGTGCATTTTATATAATATACTGAGGTTTACCTATCCTACTTCAAATAACTTCTCAATTCCCAGCCTGAACCACAAACTCAATTAAAAATCAATCAACAGAAGAATGTGGTAAAACAAAGTTTGTTGTCTAAAGAAATAAGACTGTTTCCCTTGCAATACAGTATTTTGTCAGTGGCCAAACCACCTAGTGCAAAGTAGTAACTTACTTTGTATCAGCACAAACATTGACACACCGTTACAAATACTTTCCCTTTTACAAAACAATTTATGCCAACATGACATAAAACAGCCCCTCACACTAAGAACACAAGGGATATCTTAAATTACTTCACTGTAGTGTTAAAAAATGCACAATTTAAAATCCCTTAACAGCAGACCTGCGGTTCTGGCTGTCTGGTTCAGAATCTCACCGTTCCAAGAAGATAAAGGTATAAAAGCTTAAAATGTGCAATAATAAACCCAGCCTTTTTTCTTTTTCTATACAGTAAGGCAAGAAATGCAGCCTGTAATGCAAAATGTTTACAAAGAGAGAAAAGCAGGTTAGCACATTGTTGATTGCACAAGAACAGTTACGAAAATCAGCAGGTAAGCCACAGTGCAAAGATGGAACAGAATCTGCTAGTGTTAATCCTCTCACGCCAGGAGCTCGTTCCAGCATAATGTCCCCAAACACTGCCAGCACCAAAGGGTGGAGCCAGTATTACATGTGAACTGCAGTTGTGTCTATTTCCTTGTGTGAAATGGAAGGGAGTAACATGGTCACATATAGGTCATACTGTACAAACTGGTATTTTATACTGTTCCAATGCCAGTAATCAATTTATTTTCTTCATTAAAATAATATACACAGAATGTATTGTTAGTTCGGTTCCTTCAAATTTTATACATATTTACTTTCTGCTAAAAAGAAAAAGATAAAATGGTGTAAAAAAAAGATAAAGCTATTAATTAAGCACAAGAGAAAAGATAATTGGATATTTTCCCTGTGCAAGGCTAGGACAGAAGCAAACCTCCTCAAGAAAAAATGCCACCCACACAACAGGGAATTTATCCGACAAAAACAAAACAAAAGGAGTTGAAGAACTACCCCTTCTCTATCATCAGAAGTCATTTCACAGCAATAAACTTAATGGGTTACAACAGACATACTTGAACAGTTTAAGATGGGTAGAAAGGCTTAAGATATCATCAAACTAAACCGTACAATGAGACAAAGCCTTGCCAAAAAGAGGGAAGGGTAAAAATCAAGTCCAGCATCAGTGCTCAGTGTAAATCATGTATTGGTGACATACCTATCACGAGGACAATCGGGGGGAAAAAAGTCTAGATTTACCATGCAGGAGAGATTTATTACTCTACTTGCCTTTGATAACCTGATTACATCTAGTTGTTTAGCAGTTTAGTATTGTGTTAAACTGTTTTTACAACAGAGTTGTTTTTTCTTCTTTTTTTTTAATTAAACCCAGTAAGATGTACAGGAGACAATGAGGCAGTAAAAAGTACTGCTTCCAACAGACAGAGGTGAAAGGTCAAATGAGAGCCTCGGCAAAGAGGTCACTAGCAGCCACAGCCTTCTCTCTGGGGTTGGGGTTCACTGGTTAGCCGGCCTCCCTGTGGAGCTGAAGGTTTGTGTTGTACACCAGACTCGGCAGCATTCAGATCCAAGCTTCCATCCTGAATGTTCTGATAGATTTTCTTGGCAGCCTCAAGGAAAGCATCTTCTACATTCTCTCCCCTAAGAGGCAATCAACAACTTTAGTGGAGAAGCACAGCTTTCTACGAAAGATAAGACATTACACACTAACCTTTTGCTAACCTTTAGTCAACTGCCATGATGTCTTCAACTTAGCGACTGTCATCTAATAAAGGATTAGCAGAAGACTGAGCTAAGAGAACACGGGAAAATATTTTCTGTGGAAAGCACATAAACACAATACTAAGGGCTGTTTCTACAACCCTATTCAGATAACTGTATGTTTTCTAATCATTAAAATGCTGTATGTTTAGATAATAATTAAGACAGGCCATTTCTGTAACTATAGTGGGCATTCCAAACAGAAATGATATCTCCAAATACATACAGAACAGTATTCCATGATCTGTATGGTCCGGTTAACCACGCGTGAACTGTACTGTTCTTATTACACTTAGCATGTTCACACTCTAGTTCAGTTCTCTTAGGTCTAAGAGTATAGATGAGGCTAAATAAGAAGGGGCTAGCTTCTCACCACCGAAAGGAATTTTTAGCTTAATGAATAAAAAATTATGATAGGAGTCCTGGGGTTCATTAACGGACATGGGGTAACAATTAGAAAATGTGAATTATACTTCTAATTATTCTTAGACATTGTATATTTCCTTAAGTCATGCTTTCTACCATGATCAGAAGTATTAAATGAACAGGTTGACCAAACTTGAGTCCAAGATGCCAAATTCAACCTCAGTTGTGAAAGTCAAACACTTTTGAAACATTAACACAATTTCATTTACTAACCTGGATTACCAATGGGCATGATCAAGGCATAACATTTTAGGTAAAGTAACAAAAATTATTTTGAAATGTGAAACAGGATGCAAAGAAATGTCTGCTGACTGTCCTTCCTGCCGCAAGCATTGTACATTTATATATTACACATTACATGTAATATATACATTACACATTTTTATATATGGTTCTACTGTGAGAAGTCTGAATGTAATTAAAATGATCTACTAATTTTAGCCATACTTACGTTTTTGCACTTGCTTCAAGGAACAATAAGCCTAAAAATAAAATTCAGACTATGGTAAGAACATTTCAAATTAACTCACAAGGACATTCTCTTCAGTAACATGTGAATAAAAGTTTCCCCTCAGCCTTCAGTACTCCTGCCACAGTGTTTATCACAGAGTATACGAGTCTGAGATGGAGGGAATCTTTATATTTGTTATTAAATAACTGTACTACCCCCAACATGAATCTCAAATAGAAACACATTTTATTTCCTCATTCTTGAGATCTGAGCAGTTTGCATTTAAAAAAAAAAAACTGTTGAATAATCTGTAGTGTCAAAATCCCACCTATCCTTAGAAATTCTCCCATGTGCGACCCAAAAAAGCCAAAAGTCTTAAAAGAAACCCACCATTTTCTTCAGCAAACTGTTTGGCTTCTTCATATGTAACATCTCTCTGTGCCTCCAAATCTGCTTTATTTCCTATGAGAATTATTACCTAATTTGTGACCAAAAGAAAGATATCTTAAAACAAAAAGCAACCATTTAAATCAAACATGAAATTCTGAAATCCAAAAATCTTGAAAGAAAAAACATGTGAGCCTAAAAAGGAAACTAAATACTAGCAATTATCCATCAGACAGGACTACACAATCATGAAGCGATTAGCATTAAGAGGGATCTCAGCAATCACCTAGGTCAGGGGCTGACAAACTTTCTGAAAAGGGCAAAAAGTATATATTTTAGGTTTGTGGTCTCTTGGCATGTACTTCTTTGACTTTTTTTTTTTAACAACTCTGTAAAAATGTAAAACCCATTCTCAGCTCTCAAGCCATTCAAAAACAAAACAGCCTTGTTTTGTTTTCATGTGCCTGAGACACAGCTGGTCTAGGCCAAAGATTATGATTTCTCTTGAGTAAGACTGCTAAGGGTCCATGGACAAGCTCCAGGGTATCTGTGAATGCACTGAAAGTAAACACAAAATGCTGTACACAAGGACATTCCCTGAAAGAGGTTTGTCGTTTTCATCAGGTTTTCAAAAGTTTCTGGGTCCATCAGAAAGTTTGAAAACTACTTCAACTTCTTCAGCTACAGGAAAGGAAATTAACGCTCAAGTAAGACAAACAAGGACTTGTGAAAGGTCACTCAGTGAGGCAGAGGTAGAAGGACATTAGAAGTCAGGTAGAAAACACAAACTGTGACCTTCAAATACTGTTCTCCCCTACACTATCCTTAGGCCAGACTAAGTCTGTAGCTACTGCTAACAAATGACTGTATCCATAGGGGGCAGCAGGGGTGGGAGGACACATATGCAGTGAGTTCAAGGCACAGTATCACACACCTGTATCCTCTTTGGAATCATTTATACAAGTGAAGTTAGGCCAAAGTTAAAGGCAGCTCTGAAAAGTTCTAAGAAAAAAGTGTGTAATCATGGGAAATAGGATTTTGGCCTTTATTGGCAAAGGGCCGGGGATAAACTGTCTCTGTCTATATATTATTTGACACCAACTGGCAAACCCACCCTCCTCTTTCCCCGTTTGAGACAGATACAGATACTTTAGGAATGGGTGGTTTCAACTAAAAGGGATTTCCACCATTAACTTTTATTCATGTGAAATTACAGCCCCTGGCTCTCCTACTTTCAAAAAATGATGTTCATTTAAACTGAATAACCATTTTGACCTGAATGTAAATCTTGAGCAAGGACAGTTAAATAGTACAACAAAAGTGAGCATTCTTCAATCAGTGTGGACAAGTGCCCGCTGAGGAAAGAAGTTTTCACACATAGTCCACTAATCTTTTAAAGAATAAGGTAATGACACTTAAAAAAGGAAATCAATTTTTTTAAAAAAAATCAGAGTAGATAAAGTCATAATGGCTCAGTAGTACAGGGCCATTACAGGACAGGTACTCAAAGTAGGAAATGTTTACTGAATGGGAACACTGCCTACTCTCCCAGTTCCTTAAGATTTCCAAACCATGCTTCCCATCATGAAAGGGGAGATATCAAGTGGCATGCTAACAAGAGAGGTACAATATATATGAACAACGAAATGAGAAAGTATGTAACCTCCACACAGAAATCAAAGGCAAAGTTATAGAAAATGCAACATTTGAGCTGGACCTTAAAATAAAGATGTTCTTTCTTCTGAAGATCAGGTGAGATTTTAAGAGGCACAAATAAGACAGGAAGGACATGGCTAACTTTTTATTATTCTCCTCTAAGGACCCTCATACAGTAAGTTTTTTTCTTCTTGTTTTTAATATTTTACTCAAATCGCAGAAGTTTATGAAACAGTAGAGAGGTCTTATATACCCTCCGCCAAGCTTCCCCAACAGCAGCGTCTTACATACTCATTGTACAATCTCGAACCCAGGAACTTGACATTGGTACAATCTACAGCCCTTATCAGATTTCATCAGTTTGATACACTCTCAAGAGTGTTGTGTAGTTCCATGCAATTTTACTGCAGGTACAGATTTGTGTCATCATAATCAGGATACAGAACTATTCTATCACCACAAAGGCACTGCTTTGTGCTGCCCTCTTTATAGTCAACTCAAACCCTTCACCCCCATCACAAACCCTGGCAACCACAAATCTGTTCTCCATCTCTGTAATTGTGTCTTTTTGAGAATGTTTTATAAATAGAGTCATACAGTATGTAATCTTTTTAGACTTTTTTTCACTCAGCACAATGCCCTTGAGAGCTAATTTGCTGTACGTATCTACAGTTCATTCTTTTGTATGGCTGAGTGTTCCACAATCATGGATGTACCAGACTGTTTAACCATTCACCTATCGATGGCCATCTAGTCTGTTTCCAGTTTTGGGCTACTGCAAATAAAGCTGCTATGAACATTTATCTATAGGTCTGTACGTATACCTACAGTGGATTTAATATGATAATGGATGTGAAAGTTCCAGGCACAGTCCCTGGCATAACAGGTAAACCATGTTAACTGACTCTCAATAATAATTACATTGCTGTTCCCTGATAACAGCCAATCTTATCATGAATTACATATTTACTAAACCAGGCCACTGCCAGGTGCTGGGTACAAACCTAAGTGAGACACAGGCCTTACTCTTGAAAAGCTTGGAGTCAGTCACAGCACTGTGCCTTTCCTCATTTGTTCCTGGAATACCCTCTACAGCATTTACTCAGACTTTATCTACCAACCCTCAAATCCCAGCTCAAACACCCCCTCCTCTGTCAAGCTGGTTTCTCCACATGGCACTGCTCATTCTGGGCACCCTCTTCCCCAAGTGCCATACCAGTCACTCTATTTCTAACCCTATTTCACTCTGTTTTTCAATACAGTTACTTGTATACCCTCAGGTAATGTCCCTGCTAGACTACACCCTTCTGTGGGCCAGGGACCCACATTTATTCTTGTATACTGCAGAGCCTAGCATGGTGGACAGCCAGCCTTGAAAATCTCAATAAATAAGTATCTTCTCCATCTGGCTAAGCAGCAGATTTTTTAAAGCATGTAGAACTCCTTATTTTTAATTGAAATTTTACTGAGATTCACATACAGTTGTAATAAATAATACAGAAATCCCTCATACATTTTGCCCGATTTTCTCCAATGGTAACATTTTATGAAACTAATGCAGAAAAAAGCAATAGTTTCAGATTTCATAGTCTTTACTTGACACCCTATTTATTACTTTCTTTTTTTTTAGCCACGAACGAACAAAAACCAAGTATAAGATGTGAAACCTGGGGTAATTAGTACTGAAAAAGAGTTTTAAGTTTTCTTCAATTAATTTAAGAATAAAATAGATTCTCTCATTCTTAGTACCCAAATATAAAAAAGCTCACTTATTAGCAAATGGCTTTCCTTTCTGGGTCAACTTAGATCTTAAATTTTCTGTATAACAGATGTCATTTAACTTACAGTATTTGGATTGGTGAGATTCCTTGCATCTGTCAACCAGCTGCTTAAGTGATTGTATGTACTTCTTCTGCAAAAATTAGAGTTTACATTTGTGACTGCCACATACAGTTGCCATTTCAATAGGAAAAAAAACTTCAACAGATATTTTAAATATACACTTTAATCAACAGATCCTTTAAAAAGTATTTCTGATTTGACTAGATTGTTACTCTAAAGAACAACTGTTGAATGTAAACACATACTTCTCAAAAATCTAGCCAAATCTACTGTTTTTAAATAAGTAACTCAATAAGCAACAACTCTGTAATCACTTACATGTCAGGAATAAACTGTTTAAAATTCTAAACTCAGAATGTTCAGTCTGAAGTAAAAATTAAAATTATTTTTAAATCATCCAGATTTTCAATCACAAAATCAGGGACAAAATAGTACCAAAATATCTAACCAATGACACATTCAATAGAAAACACTTTTTGCAGCTGTCTTTAAATTTTTCAAATTAGAAACCAAGATAGCCACACTACTGTATAAAATTCACCTTTCCTTAAAGAGTAAGCTAACTACAACAGCATTTAAAAATGGCTTTAAAAAGACATTTAATACATCTGACTGGAAATTCAAGTCCCCAGGTATATTAGAAAGTGAGTTTATTTATCAGCAGTTAAGTCATTTTAGGATTCAGACTGCCCTACTTCTCTAGTTTCAACAAGCAAGAGTTTAAAAACTCATGTGTTCATTTACACTAGCTTAGCAGGACCTAAGATAGCAGACAAACCCAAATAATTTACAATAATATACAAAGTATACCATTAATATTAATTAGACTTTACCAAAGAGGTCAAAATTTTAAAAAGTTTGAAGATTACAAATGTTTGATTTATACAGACTCACAGGACATTAATCTTACTCATTGAACAGGTGAAAAAACAGAAAACCATGAAGACTTAAATGATTTCAGAGCCAAGTGTAGACACACATCATGTCCTCAAAGTGTTTTCGACTTCAGCCTTATGAATATATTCCATGATCTCCAGCAGCCAGTGCTCATATAAAACCTGATATTCCAAATACCTAATCCTTTTCCAGTGAAAACTGAAAAGAACTCCTTACTCAGACCCTTTTTACATATTATACACAAATCACCACCTAAATGTCAAAAAAAGGTCACATAAAATAACTACTTTTTCCCAATGTTTTAAAATTTTCTAAGTAAAGCAATAGTCAAATATAAATTTTAAAAAGCACAAGCCTTATCATTCCTCAGTATTTGTAGTACTAGCACACCCTGCTTTTACACAGCAGATATACCTTGCTTTGCACACAAAATCTTACACAAGCCCAGAAGTACTTATTTCGATGTATTTTAAAACGTCAAAGCTGACAGCAAGAGTGAATTACAAACAGCCACCACTTTGGTAAACAGGAAAACCTAGACATTCTTTGTAAGCAGTATCAAGATCGTGTAAACTGTATTATTTACAAGTACCTTAACTTCTGCTAATGCTTTTGGTAATTATTTCACTACTAATTTAAAATTTACCATCATAACTTAAATCTATAAATATAGTATTATCCAAATATTCATTAATTGGTGGTACTAGCGCTTAAAAAAAAAAGGGCACTAAAATATCCCTAACTTTGGCATGGAGGTCCGATACACTATGTCAAACAGCTGATATAGCCAAACTGTCATGATACGCTATGCTGCCAGTTTAGGAAAGTACCCTGTTACAATCAGAGTTAATGTCAAGAATAAAAAGTATTATTAAAGCAGGGACTTTTAAGTTTGAAAAATGTCAAGGATTAAGAGTAGAATAAAAAAAAGTAAAAAAATCAGAGTCACGGCTGCAACATCAATGTCACTATGAAGTATCACTCTAGCAAGAAAGTACTTGTCTAAAGCCCAAAGTACTTTCTTTCTCACTAACAGTTGTATTGGGACATAACAAGCATACCATAAAGCTCATCTTATTAAAGTATATGATGTAGTGGTTTTTAATATATTCACAAAGTTGTGCAATGATCACCACTCTAATTCTAAAACATTTCATCACCCCCAAAAAGAAACCCCATACCCGCTAGCACTTACTCCTCATTCCCTGGCAATTCACCTTCTGTTTTTACGCATTGGCCTCTCTGGATATTTCATTTAAACGGAATCATACAACATTATGACCTTACACGTCTGGCTCCTTTCACTTAGCAAAATGTTTTCTAGGTTCATCTACTTTATAGCACGTATCAGTGTTTCTTTTCTTTTAATGGTCGAATTATGTTCCACTGTATGGATATATCATATCTGCTTATGCATTCATCAGCTGATGGGCATTTGGGCTGTTTCCAGCAGAGTACTGTTGATGACTCAGATAGACACAAGTTTTACCAAAAAGTACCTACTATGCTTAAAAGTACATTTAAAAGCAAAATATACACACATATCAAGTCATCTTAAATTTACACAATGTTCTATATAAATTATATCTCAAAGCTAGAATAAAAAAATACACATACAACGAGCAAAACAAACTACCACACTGTAGACAGATACACTCTAAGCACACTAACTATATCTAAATTTTATTAACAAGGCATGAGTTTTTAATTGTGCAAAGTCTTCAGGAACGCATTCCCTCAAAAAAGGATGTCCTGCACAGAAAGCCAGGTTCTTTAATAATCTTCCCACAAAACGATTTACTGGTCATGTTATTACTAATTGCCTGGCTCTAGTGAAGAGCGTTAAAGCTGTCTCATTCTGTTTTACCTGAGACCATCCAATTCTAAAATTTAGTAAAACTTCAAGCACTATATTTATAATCATCCACTATCCTTATTCTAAAGCAGCATTTCCCAAAGTGTGTCTTCAATAAAATAACCTTAGGAAACATCAAATTAAACAAAGTTAAAGAGTTAATTTACTACAGAACTTCTCAAGGTCTTAATATGCTAATGTGCACTGTGACCCTTCAAGAAGAAACAGTATAAAGCATTTCCCAAAAGGAAATACACTTGGAAGTCTAATTATCGCTTGGTCCCACTTGCTATCCCTAACCCCAAAAAAGTGAGACAAGAGTCACACTGCTTTACACTGGCACTTTGCATTAACATGAAAGGTGATTCAGTTTATTTTCTAGCTTACAGTAGGCAAACAGCAAAGAGTTTAATGAAGTGACACACAATTTTCCAAAGTCTAACATTTAAGGTGCAGCTTTGTTACTTTGTATCAAGTGCTTTAAGTTTCCAGAAATAACAGAGTTGAAATAAATTTAATCTTGCTGCATGAAATATCACGAGCTACTTCAATCCATTTTAGGACAAAAAAGAATTTAAGTAAATGAACAAATACTTCAGATGCAATTTTGAGAACTTGTAATCTACCATGTTGGATTAGGAAAACTACTTAATTCTTTGCTTGGCCTTATTTTGAAGAGGTGTAAACTTTAACACTAGAGGTTGAATAGAGTAACTCCTCAAGATGTGCCTCCTTTCTGCCGAAGTCAAAAGAACAGTTTGGTGTAAAATACTATTTCACCTCAAATAATTCAACTGATACTGCTTTTCAGAACAGTATTATTCCATTAGCTCCACCAGCATCTCCTAAAGTTCTTCAGTCATACCCATTTTCAGAAAAGGAAATCAACATATTATATCACATATCAAGTCTTACACACAGCAATTTAAAGAAACTATAAGCCTAAATAAGTTCATTTATAGTCACACAATTACAAACTAAAGAATGCCTAAATCAATTAAAAAAAGAAACCACAGTGCCTAAAGTAGATTTCCTTTTTTCAAGTAGGAAGGCTGAAAATTATTAATTTCTTACCTAGTGATATCATACACCATAAGTGCTCCTGCAGCTCCTCTGTAGTAGCTTCGTGTGACAGCCCTAAACCTCTCCTGTCCTGCTGTATCCCAAATCTGCAGTTTGATTTTTTGGCCACTAACTTCAATTATTCTTGTACCAAATTCAACACCAATTGTGTGAGGACAGTCAGCCATAACTGTTAGGAAAGAAAAGAAATACAATATAATATTCCAACTTCCAGAAAGCTTCAAAGTAAGACTAGTGGGGAAATAATGCACTGGATAATCAAATGATTTATTAATTATAATTTATTAATACTGAAGGCTATAAACAGAATAAAGCTTGCACTAAAAAAAGTTAGCAAAAACACAGAAGTAAGAAGTCAAAGAGATGTGACTGGACTAGAACAGGGGTCAGCAAGCCTCTGTAATGAACCAAATAATAAATCAACTCTACTTTGCTGCTGAAGCACAAGAGCAGCCATAGACAATACATAGAATGGGCACGGTTGCATTCTAACAAAACTTTATTTATAAAAATGGGCAGTGACTGGATTTGGCCCACAAGTTGTTTGCTGCCCCCTGGACTAAAAGAATCTGTTAATTAAAAATAAAGATTTTAATAAACTCTTCATAATACCAACATTATACTATTTAACCTTCTGACAATCATTACATGTAACAAATCAATCAATAGTTTTAGGACTCTAGGCATTTTCAGTCAAACAAATACTTACCCTGTAAAACATTATCAATATCTCAAAGAAAATCATATTTAATATATGCTTACAATTATATATTGGCAAATTATGTATGTCTAATCCAATAGGACAAGCTTATTAGTCGTTTCTTTAAAATTAGGCCACTGAAAACCTACACCTACTATTATCTTCCTGTACAAGGACACAAAGACCGCTGGATGCATCATAAAATATTATATTAAGCAAAAAAATGCCATAGGAATATTTAAATTATATGGAAACAATTTCAACTACATTTAGCCTATATAAAATAAGATACCCCCTTCCCCTACCACCCAAGATAGAGTAGTACTTTGAATCTTAATCATCCAGTCATGAATGTAGAAAGAACTCCATTTTGAATATTTCCAATCCATTATTATTTAGTTATTAGCAAGTGATATATGAGCAAATTTCCACTAAGGTAATTTTTAGCTTGGAAAGTCAGAGAACAATAAAAAGATTACTTAAATTTGATACTATAGCATACATTTTTATTTTTTATAATTTTTTTAATTTACATTTTTATTATCAAAAAACCTAAACAAGTCAATCAAATTATACATGGCATATAAAAATCAACATTCTATACATGCAGGTATATTTCATTTTATCTGCTACTATTAAAAAAAATTACTCCCTAAAAACACAAGTGCACATATATAGAAAGGCTATATTTAATTGCATAGAGTACGCTGAAAATGACACTTTTTAAAAGGCAGGAAAGTGACAATAAAGAATTTACTGAGGTTTTTAGCTTACATATTGAACTTACATTTTTTTTCTGTAAATTGATGAAGCAAGCAAGATTTTCCTACTCCCATGTCCCCTGTATAAAAAAACGGTTCAAGTGGTAATTACATTTCTCAATTTTACAGCCTTATATGCAGTGATTGCTAGACCCCTTTCACTGTATCACATCACAAATTTCTAGAACACTTAAAAATTTTTACTTCCCTAATTTGTAATGAGTTCAAAAGATCCTCAGGGTCTGTTTTCACTGATACACAAATCAACTACTCCCAACCTTCAGCAGTGATAGAATGTAGTCATGAACAATGTTAATAAATAGGCACCAGCTGGGAAGAGCTTTTTAACAGAGGAACTGTTGCTAACAGTATTTTTTTAATTTAAGCTTTTTCAACATTTTATATAGTTTTTTTTCCCCTTAACCCACACATAAAAGTCAAAGACTCCTAGGAGTGACCAACAGGGCAGCATATAACAAGTAGAAATAATAAGCTTTGGAAGCTTGATTCACTAGATCCCATCATATCTCATATTTCTTGTATTTCTTGTAGAATTCTACAAAAGAAAAGAATGGCATTAAATGAAAACCATAACAGAACAGATGTCATATCTGACTGTACTAAAAGCAATTCAACCTCTGGTGAAGGAATCATTACAATAAAGCCACAAAAGCTCAATATTAAACCAAACTCTTCTAATGTGAAGAATTGACAGAAAAATATGTGTGCTTTCAACTGTGCTCTTAAAAACTGTATTTAGATAAACAGCATTGTCTTTTAATTTGAGCAGAATCTTGAAATTAAACAGAAAAACCACCATTATATTTTATGTATATGACACAATTAATCAATGCTCTTTATCAATTTTTGGACTCCAGTGGGCTCTGAAAGTTTTCATATTTTTGGAATGTATCTGCACTCCTAGGAAATTAATCTCATACCCAGTATTAACAAGCCTTCTGGTAGCCCTCAAGAAAAACCAACATCACTTCAAAGGTACGCAGATAAATAGAAGTACTTAAGGCCACAAAACAAAAGGTACATCAGTAATGCAAAAGTAAATCTTATCAAAGGAGTCTTTTTTTCCTGATAGAGGGGAGGTAATCAGGTTTATTTATTTAGTTTTTAGAGGAGGTATTGAGGATTGAACCCAGGACCTCATTCATGCTAAGCATGTGCTCTACCACTCGAGCTATACCCTCCCCCAAAGGAGTTTTAATTTTGCAATGAGAAAATCATTCACTTCTTCTGGGGTAGTATGTTAAATATTAGCATATAAATATTTTGTATTTTAACATTCTCTGGAGAACAAGAGTGTAAGTTAAATAAACTTACCAATAATAATATATTTAAAGATGTAAGAGTAGTTGTACGGTGCAGTTGCCATGGTGGCACTAAAAACAAAGAAAATTGTTACATCAGAAAAAAATATACATAAGTTATCCAAGCTGATCACGGCTATCCTTTAAAGAGATATAAAATAAAGCACACTGACTATAAACAAAATGTTGGTTACAGTAAGTTAGAACAAAATTGCATTTCCCAAATTGATCAAATACACAAATTCTCTCGGATGAACGCTGCTTTAATATTCTCATGTATTATCCATAGAAATGTAAGAAACCATGTATATCAAAACAATTCTAATACTTCACTTTGGAAATATCCAATAAGAAATGTTACTCTGGAAAACTTCAAACAAGAAAATTTTTATAAATTTAAGTTAAATATCATTATAAATAATCCTCCTCTCTTATTAAGGTCCCCATATCTGTTAAATGATCAAATGAATTACTGATGGCCTATTTGTTTGAAACTCTGATTTTATAACTGAAAGTAATAAAAATTAAGCATCAACTTATAAACACAAAATAACGTTTTTACCTTACTTTAGATCAAAGGTTAGCGTAGCATCCAAAGCAATCATACTATTTCTAAACCAAATGAATGTCAGAACGACATGAAACTGTTGTTCTTATAGATTAAAAAAAAGTCACTTATTGACGATTTCATGTGGCTCAATCCAACAAAGGATTTGAAGATTAACAATATACCAAATGCGTGCTATATATATTATGCTAGGAGTTAAGAGAAATAACGGTGTAAAATACTACTTGTGGTTGTAAAATTTGAAAGTTTGTGTATTAGAAGATATTTCAAAAGATCATAGCCCATTCCTTACCCTCAGATAAGACAACCTAAAGAATTTCTCTCCTACTTTTAATAACCTAAAAAGAAAACTTGTTCAATTTATTCAAATGAATGCCTTGAATGTGTCAGACACTGTGCCAAGTGCTAGAGAATAAGAGGTGAATTCTAATACTGATACTAAGTTTCAGTAAAATTTATTCCCCAATAAAACTGAAAGAAAAAAAATCTATTCTCAAACCAGTCTGCAGCTTAAAGAAAGACAAAAATTCTTTGTATGTATAAGGGTTTAACCCATTTTTAAAATTTTGATTTCCAGTATTTTTTTTTTTTGATTTGGTTTTTACTGTTTTGGCCAACTATCACACACAAGCCAGACATTTAATGATTGGGGAGATTCATTTACTGAAATTAACACCTTACTCACTGTCATATTTCAAATAAAATTTCTATAAAACTAATAAAATTTAACCTGTAGAAAAAAATACATATATTAAATAAGTGAATTATTATTAGGGAAGAGGAAGTTGTTAACTACAGCAAATTATTAGACAATCATTTCAAACACAGTCTTCTCACTTAGCTGTATGAAATCCATTCAACCAAAGTGGGACATGTTGTAACATTTATAATCAGTCTTCAACATCACAGAAAACTCCCTCAACCAGTTCTTTCAAAAAAGGAGTTTTTCTAGTTGAAGTAACTCTGATTCTGAACATCTTACTAATATGATTCCCATTTGCTAGGTACTAGGAACTCGTATCTTTTAAGAATGAGCTTGATCCTGAGGTTCAAACTGGTCTAGATTTATTCACCATATCTCTGAACCAGATGCTAAAGACATGGGAAAAAAATAATCTCATAGTAAAAATGATACCTAAAGCTTATTAACTTCTTGGTCTACATTCCTCCCAGGCTCTTTTCTTCTAATTAATTTTTAACTCCTCTTTTAAACTTCTTTTTCCCCATTCAAACTTGGGGGAAAGTAATTATTTAGTCATCTTTAAATGACTATTTATCTCAAGCTCCTCCCCTTTTGATTTTCCTATCTCCTTTCCCACTTCTAACTGAAAGTTGTTAACTGTACATACTTTGCTTCCCTTCATTTTATTATGTTAAAACTATGCTGTCTAACAACAATTTCTACTCAAAATGCTCTAAAGGCTAACCATGAAATTACAATCCAATCCTAGTTGTACTAATTTCTGTACTTGCTAATTATCACATAAGCACTCATTAATTAAATATCTACTGAGATGACTAATTTTCAAAATGTTTTTCTTTAATTACCAAGCATCAATTAGTATAAACTATTTCCAAATAAAAGAGAATGATCACTATTTCAGATTGAACACCAGCCTCCTGTGTCCATCTCACCACACAATTTTCTGGTTCAAATTTCTTAAAAATTAAAAGTTCTAAAAGCAGAGTAAAGGAAAACTACTCAAACTTACTAATTTCAGTAGACAGGAAGGCAAAAAATATTTAGCACTTTAGCCACTAACACAACAGGTCCTTCTTTTTTTATTAAAGGTAAAATACTAACGAGGTTTAAATAGACTCCCATAGTTTATTGATAGCATTCACTCAAAATTACATATTCTGCAGTAGAACTATGTTCAAGTGGCCCCTTTTAAATATTAACTATGCTTAATATTGCTTTAACAAAGCATTTCTTGAACATGAAATATACCAACGTTAAGGTGATGAATTTATTTGTAACTAGCTTTGGAAGGGGAAATATGTTTTTCTCCCATCACTTAAGGGTGCAAGGGTGCTTCTGCTCTACTTTGAGAACTTAGAATTTAAAAAAAAAAAAAAAGAGTTGGTGAGAACAAGAAGCATTGGTCTAGTTCAAACACTCTGAAAACATGAGTTCACTCAACACAACAATATTCACTAATTAAAAACCCTTGGTGATATTCTGTAATTTGTGCACAGCTACTGGTGTGATTAAAATGCACTTTCTCCCAGGTTTTACAAAAACCATTTGAATAAAATTCACATATAAAGACCTCCTTTAATACCTTTGATTTCTTTAGGAAAAAAAGTACAACACAGACAAGCATCATTAAAATACCTGATGAACAACTTGTAAGCTAATAACAAACCCAACTGTCATAGTTACCATTTATTGGGCACTTAACATATGCCAGGCAATGTGCTAAATACTTTACAAGCAATCTCATTTAATCCTCACTACTACCCTGATAAAATAGTGACTATTATCCTCATTTTACAGATAAGGAAAGACTCAACAAGTAAGTAATATGCCCACATCACAGAGCTAAGTGGTCAAGTCTACAGTGCTCTAACTGCAGAGAACCCCCTCTTCATCACTATACTATCTAGCCTCCTCCACAGTTATGAGATGTACCATGAAACCCTATGTTGGTACTTTGGGATACAAACCTTTCTCAATTCACTCAGTTCTAATTTAATAATCTGAATAAGCAGTATTAAATAATTACATTCAGAGGATGCACTGCGATCGGGATTTGTAGATATGGATAAATGATAAAACTAGTAACAATAATTCATATCATACCTATCACAAAATGTTTCTGAAGAGAACTAACATTTGTTGAGTAAACCATGTGATGATCTGCACTACTTTTCCCTATACTGTCATATAATTCTTACTTAATTCTTACAACTCTGCAGAGTTATTACCATTATGTCCATGTAAAAATGGAAAAAATTGAGGTCTGGAGAAATTCATTAATTTGACTGGTTTACAAAGTTAGTAAATGGCAGAGCTGGAACCTGAACCCAGGTCTGATTCCAAAGAACATGATTTTCTCTATCTAAAGTAACTTATTAAAGGCATACATACCTACATAATACACACATGAATGTAGACTGATAAAAGCAAAAAATAAAAATCAGAGAAAGATGGAGGATAATTAACACTAAAAGTTTAGGGTAACAGTTTTACTATCAGCCCATGTAAAATTTAGTTCTAAACTTTCTGGCTGGTCAAGCAAATTGTTTACTAAATGCATATTAAAAAAGAAAAATTGTTGGTGGTCCTGTTTAAATATTAACTGTGCTTAATGATGCTTTAACAAAGGATTTCTCAACCTCATCTCTTGAACATGAAACATACCACTGTTGAGGTGAGAAATATATTTTAAAATATATTTTAAATGGGGTATGTTATTGCATGAAACTCTGCAACAGGCTTTTTTTCACTTAACAATATCGTGGATCTATTTCCAGGCCAATAAATATAGATCTAAATGGTTATTAAATGCACATTAAACACTAATCATTATTGTGCCAAAACAGAATCACACTGTCTTCATGTACTGACTGAATCACCCTTCCAAATAAAATTATACAGAAATATAAATGACTAGTTTTGACATGTGTAGATGCAGATGTGAAGGTAGGCACTTTCAAACACTGCTTGTGGGAGTCTGAAATGCCACAATATTTTGGGGAAGTAATCAGTATATTTTAAAATCTTAAAAATAATCCAGACTTCCTTTTGACCAAGAAGCCCACATAGAAGTAGCCTACAGAAATAAAACCATGAATCCCTAAGGTTACAGGTGCAAGTGCACTTTAAGTAGCATTTTTACAGCAAAAAAATAGAAACAACCTACACACTCATCCCAAGGAAATGGCTGAATAAAGTACATCCCTACTAGGAAATAATACGCATTTAGTTTAAAAACCATTTAGATATATGTATTAACCTGGAAATGAATTCATGATCTTATGTGGGGAAAAAAGCATGTTGCAGTTTTATGAAATAGGATACCCATTTTTAAACACATACACACACTCAATCCTGTATGCATATAATATAGAAAGATACACACCGAACTGTGGAAAATGAATACATGGGTTGAGTAGGAAAAAGGAAGGGGAAAATTATTAACCTTCTTTATATATATCTCCCTGCACTGACACTATAAACATGTACTGTATTCACTGATAATCCAAAATATTAAAAGTAAAGAAAACAAAGGTCTGTTAAATATTTTAAAGCATTTTATATACAATTCTAATATAAAACAAGAATAAACAAAAACTTCTATTCATAATATTTCCAACATTACTTCCACATTTAACAATAATATGGGGAACATCATATGAAATCACTCATGTAATCAGCCTCAAAAAACAACCAAAATAAAACACTCCAATAATCTGGAGTATTTTTCCTGTGTTTTTTGTTTTTTAATGATTTGGCTCCTTACTGTTGTCAACTTATGCACTGTCTGACTAATCCTTTTGCAACTGTTACATAGTTATTTTATTCTACTCTTAGAACATAAGACGTTACTGTGTAATTTTTATATAACTGAGTCAAAACAACACAGGAAAAAAAGCAACCCACCAAATAAAAATATTCCAGGTGATTTAAATTCTGATCTTTATTGTTATTTTTTTAATACACAAAACAGTGTTTAAAAAACACGTAAGCCAAGATAGACTGCTTCTGTGATTCCAACGTGCAAATATTTCTGATTATCTACTAAAAAGGTGGCCTTCCACTAGGCTCTGACAATACAGTAATGATCAAATGTATGTATGTATGTTGTCCTTCCCTTCATGGAACTCAAGAACAGAAGTGTTTTGGTTTGCTTACAAGCCCACTAAAGTGGAATGCTATTTGATTTGTCAGTTAAGTGGACACAAAAACTTGGTAGTTAATCTACTATACTAATTTAATCAAAACAAGTGGTCAATTTCCCTTCCTCACAGATAATGCAACCACTGAAAATAATCCACTCATTTCTGAGATCCGCTTTAAAAATCACTTCACATTTGACAAGGTATTAATGTCACACGTTTATATACATTAACATGTAAAATAAAAAATTGGATTCCTTTATGTGTCAAGAGAAAGACAAAATTTTCCAGCTAATTATGATAGTATGCTATGAATAAGAAATAAAGTACTCTCATACTGCCCCTCTGTCCATAAAGTAAAGTACTTAGGAGCAAAACAAAACAAAACCCCTGCACTTACTACCAGAATTTAAAGGTATAGCAATAGTGAAAAATTTACAGATGATATGATATTATGTCTGAGATTTGCCTCAAAAAATATACAGGTATATATGGATGAAACAAGACTGATCACTGTTGATACAGGCTGATGGGTATATGAAGGTTCAATATACTGCTCTACTTTGTGTATGTTTAAAACTGTCTAGAATAAAAAGGTTTTAAAAAGTATAGTATTTCTGATATCTTTATTTGTACACTGCTGTCTCCAGCCATGCCCAGCATTTTTAACCACATAAAATGTTTCAAGCTTTTACAAAAGAAGTAAGCATCTCTCAATAGCCCTAGGTTTAAAATATTTTACTTGCCTTAACCAAAAGTTTCCTCTAAAAAAGAAATTTTCGTCTAAATGTGTATCATCTAAGATTATACAAAAACATTTAATACTGATAAAAATCAGTTTTAAGAACACTCCAAATTCTGCTGCACAGCTGAAGTATGCAACAACTATAAAGTTTAATATGAAATATAAAAAACAAAAACTTTTAAATATGTAGCTTTAATTCCAAGGAATTTTTTTTAAAGTTATTAAAATCTAAAGGTTTTACATCTTTACAATAACTGCTGTTCACTGAGTGCCTAATATACGCTAGTACTTTATAAGCAATCTCTAATCCTAAAAACTCATTTTACAGATAAGGAAACCAGCTCAGAGATGAGATACATCCACGGTCATATAGCACTAGAGGGAAAGGTAAGGTTAAAGCCCGGGTCTAACTCTACAGCTCTCCAAAGCCATGCTCCTCTTACTCAACATATATTAAGCACCCACTACATACCTTCTACACAAAATAGGGCACTTACTATATTTCAAGCAATGTGCTAAGGGTTTTAAACAGCATTTAATTCTCACAACTATAAAACGTAGGTACAGTTATCCCCTGTATAATTAAGGACAGAGTCTGAGACGTTAAGTAACTTGCTTAAGGTCACTTACCTAGGAAGTGGCAGTACTGGAGTGGGAACCCTCCAAAACTCCTAACCACTACACGTTTCAAGACATGACCAAGTAAAACAAAAGGGCGTAAGCGGAACTCTGAAAAAATTTTTTGCAAAGCCTTGGGGAATGGAGGAGTGGGAGCTGGATTATTGCGAGGGCAAATATGACCCCCATAACCACATCTAAATAAAAGGCAGATGTGACAATAATGAAGTGAGCAGTAAACTACAAGAGTTCAAATCTAGACCCTGACACTTGCTGTGGGACCACCACGAAATCACCTGACCTCTGGGAATCCCAGTTTTTTCTTCAAATATAAAATGGAGGTCTTGCCATCGCTCTTCTGGGGTTATGAGAATGAGGACTGGCAGGGTTATGTCTGACACAAGACTGGGTTATAAAGGAGTAATCAGCTGTCATCCAATGCAGACATAAGAATAAAGGAATTAAGGTGTAGCTATGTTTTAAACAGCCATGTATGTAGCCCTAGCCTAACTTCAGTTTGTTATGTACCATCATTTAATCAGCCACATCACACCTTCAAGCCTCAGTTTCCTCACTTGTGAGACGGAGATACTCTACTTAACACCAATAGGCTCAAGATAAACTTGTAGAAAGACACCTAAATCCGTGTCTGGCACACAGCAAAGTGCAAACCACCGAAACACGCTTGTTCGGCCTTCTTCTCTTAAATTTTAGAAATACCAAAACTTTTTGTCTTCGTTATTTCTAGATGCTACCTAGGATCGGGGCCTTAAGGATGCCACAGACCTTACAAGGCTTCACCCAAACTAGAACCTCGCCAGCACGGACCCCTAGACCCCTGACCAGCCCGAGTCCAAGACAGTCTACCCACATCGACAAGGACACAGGAGCCGGTCCAAGATGCCGGCGAGGCTGCAGGCTGCTGCCGCCTTTTGTGTTCGGGGCCAGACGCGGCCTATGGGCCACAGAATGCCACGTCCGGGGCTCGTGGGCTGCAAGGCGGCGCAACCCGCACCGAGAAACGCGGCGGGGGAGGTCGGTGGCCGCCGAGAGCGGCGGCAAGGAGACTGAGCCCGCGGGAGGTGCGAGTCGAGTCAGCCCAGTCCCGCCGAGGAGGCGAGGAAGGCG